TATATATATAATAATTTCCATGTTAAAATTTTTTATGGCTAAGTTCACATTATTTTTCTGTCTTGATGACTGATATCTTAGTTCAGACAGCAATTCACCTCAACAAATATTTTTGGCCACTTGCTATATTTGTATGCTCATCACCATGCTAGCTACAGGTGATTTGCACACTCCCTGACTTGTTGTGGGAGGCAGACACTTACATAGATGTTTACAATTCAGTGTGTTCAGGGCGCTGAGGTCGGCTATCCTTAACTCCAGCCAGCTGGGGGTGCCCAGAACCTTTCACAGAGGAGATGACATCCCAGCTGGGCTTGAAAGATACACAGCAGTTTTCCAGATGTGCAGAGGTAGAGATGGACCCTAGGCATGTACGGAACCACAGGGGCATGAAATCATGTGTTTGGAGGCTTCGAGTCTTACCTTGCCTGCCAGGCTCATGTGGGTGATCTGTCCCCAAGCCACTTCTCTGACTTCATTTCCTTCCACTTTCTCCAGTGCTCCCTACGCTTCAGCCCCACTGGTCCCCTTGCTGTTCCTCAAAATAACCCAAGCATGCTTCTGTTCTGAGAGGACCCACTTTCTAAACCATTCTTCCCCCAGGCATTCTCTTGGCTCTCCCCTCATTTCATGCCAGGTTTAATCATTTGTCATCTCTGAGGCCTTTCCTGATCACCCTATCTAAAACACCCTTGTTGATCTCTGTCCTCCTACTCTGATCATTTTGCTTCTGTTTAGCACTCATCACTACCTGACATTATATGCATATTCAAGTGTTTATTGTGTGTCTCCCATCACTAAACTGAAAACTCCATGAAGATTGGGACTTTGACTGTCTTGCTCATTGTTTTATCCCTTCCACCTAAAGCAGTGTCTGGCACAGAGCAGATGCTTGGGTCGAATGAATTTTGATTGAATGGGAAGCAGTGGGAGATTAAAATGGAGGGATTGGCAGGGATGAGATGATGGAAGGCCTTATAGGCTAAGTGAAGGAGAGTGGACTCCATCTTGTTTCTGGTTGGGAGCCTTGGGAGGGTGTGAGATAGGGTAATGACTTGGCCATATTTGGGTTCTAGAAAGATTATTCTGGGTGCTGTGTAGAAGAGACCAGAGTAGGTGTGGAGACACCAGTAAGGAGGCCAATCCTGTAATATGGGTGAGATGTGGAAAGGGCTTGACCCCTGGCTCCTGTCTCCTGGTTTCAGGGGTGCAGAACAACTTGGAGAGAGAAAAAGCTCTGCTTGGCTAAGACAGAGGTCTGTGTACACCCAGACTGATTTCTCAGACCTTTTCATAGTCTGTAGAAGTCTGTTGTCTTAGGTCTGCCCATGATAACTTTTGGGTTAAAGCCTCTTTGTTGCTGTCTTTAATTAATTCTTACCTCCTTCACCTTTGATATCTGCTGGAATGCTATTTTGAGGACTATACCTGACCTCATCTTCGGTTACCTCCATGGCCAAGCTGCACAGAGCATCTCTATTTTATTTCTTACCCTTTTCACCTCCCTCTCTCTCTTAAAAATAGTTAAATTAAATTTAAAAAGTATTCTAAATGATTTTTGTTGTGTTGAAAACGGTGATGTCCAAAGCTTTTCTTAGATTCATTGTTAATGCATTCTTATTAATTGCTCACAATTGCCTGTCATTGTCTTTTGGTGTGGCACAGAGATTTAAAAAATAGCATGTTTCATTTCTGCCTACAGCAGTTATAGCTGATGTAGATGACTTTCTGGAAGTAATTTTTTTTGAGACAGGGTCTTGCTCTATCACTTGAGCTACAGTGCAGTTGCATCATCTTAGCTCACAGCACCCTCAAACTCCTGGGCTCAAGTGCTCCTCCTGCCTCAGCCTATGTAGTAGCTGGGACTACTGGCACGTACCACCACACCCAGCTAATTTTTCTATTTTTTGTAGAGACGGGGTCTTGCTCTTCCTCAGGCTGGTTTTGAACTCCTGGCCTCAACCAGTCCTCCCATGTGAGCCTCCCAGAGTGCTAGGATTACAGTCGTGAGCCACTGCACCTGGCCTGGAAGTAATTTTTTAAGTGGGATGGTAGAAAATAGGAAATTTATCATACCTTGCTATGATACAGAGCATGCTGGGACTTACGCAGCATTCAGCAGGGCCCCTGGGGAGCTGGAGCCATTCCTCCCTTCATATCCCGTCCTCTTGCTCATCCTGTGCCTTCCCTGCGAGGGGAGTGGTGAGATCTGTGTGTATGAGGGGGGATCTGTGTGTGGGGCTCATACATACCCCAAGAGAGGATCTTTGGTGTTGTTTCCTTCCTCCCTCTGGCCAGGTCTCGTTACAGGCTGCAAGTCTGTTGGTCAAGTGTCATTGAATTTGATGTGGTCGCTTGCTCGGCAGAAACTGCCAAGAGCTACTTCTCCCAAGAGGGTGCTGTGGGAGTGTTGGGGACGTGTACAGTTGATGGCCTACCCTATACAAACTGTTGCGCAAACTCCTGTAGGGCATGTGAAGATGGAGAAGGCACCATCCCTGCCATCAAGTGGCCTAAAACCAGTAACAGTGGGGGCAGGAACATACCTATTGTTCACAGAAGTAAAAGTTTCCTTTATAAACTGGTAATGGTATGAGCACATCTGTGCTTTCCACATAGAGCTACACATCAGCCTGATTTAACCTGTATCAAACTTGAATCACACCTTTCTTTCCATGAATTACTATGAACCCTTTTTCTGAGAGAAATGAAGAATCAATTTTTATTTTTTTTTTAGAAATTTCGGGATTTCTTTAATCAAAATGAAACCAGTGACCCAACCAGGGATACGTGTGTGATCCTTACAGTGGAAGGGCGAACATTCCCAGTGGATATCTTTTATCTGCAAAGGTTTGATGATGCTTGAATTCTTGATGGTGGTGATTAGAAAACTCTGCCTGTAATGCCGGTTGACAGGGAACTGCATCTGCTCACAACTCTCTAAGGCACTGAGGAGGAGCATGTTTTGTGTCTCCTGTCATTGATCTAGAATGTTCAGAAACCCTGCTCAGCATCACTGCTGAATTTAGTTTAAACTCTCGACACTGATGTGCACATTTCCCTGGATCTGTGGCCAGTAGCTCAGTTGGAGAAAGCGAAGTGGTGAAAGGTTGCAGGCTAGGAGCTTGGTGGTTCTCAGAACTGGGATTTACAGGGGTGCCTGTCAGTGGGAGCAGTGCTGGTGATTTGATGATTTGGTTCTCAGCTCTCTACATCCTTGGTGAGAAGGCCTGGTTGGCCTTTTTTGGGAGGAGCCCCCATGGACAGGAAAGGAGCCATCCTAATTCCTTTACACAGTCACTAGTCAAGCAAAGACCAAGAGTCTGGGCCAATGGCTGATAAATTCAGAGAGTTGTGAACTTGACTTCCAAGTTGTTCTGGCTGGAGAGCACATCCACCAGCTCCGTCCACCGACTCATACATGCTGCCAGTGGTTGGGAGGGAAAACAGGCCGGGAAGAGTGTGAGCTTCAGCACCAGGACCATAGTGTCTGATTTTTCACTGGCCCTGTGTCTTTGCATGTTAAAGATAGCACATCTACTTGCATGGGTATATCATTTTTATTTCTTTGCACAGAAAGCTAAGAATCATAGTTTATATATAATCATGGATTACTCCTGAATGCTGCATTTTAACAAAGAAAAAAAAAGAGTGAATATTTATTTTATTTATCCATGTACTAATTACCTGCTGGGCAGGCCCAAACTAGCATTTCTGGATGCTTTGCTGCCAGATTATTAGGGTAATTGATCTGTAATTAACGAGAATATTTTACTGATGAATTCATCCCACGTCTTTTCAGCCCTGTTCCAGATTACATCAAATCAACTGTGGAAACGGTGGTGAAAATTCACCAGACGGAGGGTGATGGAGACATATTAGCATTTCTTACTGGCCAGGTAATTCCACTGGACCTCTCCATGATGGGTCATGTTAAGGCAGCACCAAAATTAACACAGGCCCTGCTAATTTACTCAGTCATTTATTTCACGGTTTGTTGTATTTTGTGGTTACTTAATTGCATAAACACTTGTTTGGTTTGATGTCATTCATCTACCAACTAGATTGTCAGGGAGTCCTTAGCTTCTGCTTTTTCTATCTGCAAAGGATTAAATGTATTTCAAATTTATTAGCTGATTCCAAAATGAATTAGGTAGTTGTGACAGTGGGCTGTACTGTTTGCCAGAGTGGAATATTGCATTAGGTACATTTTGCTGTATGCATGTGCTGCTGCATACGCACCTCTTTTCCCAGTGACACCTTTACAACTCATCCTAGAGGTGACAAGTGGCCACGTTACAGTAAAAATAACTAAACAAGCCCAAGTGTGCACCCAAGGTGGTAGCACTGTTCATAGCTACCCTCTAGCTGTAATCTTTTCTTTCCACTGCCAAACATTTCTTCAGTGCAGTAATCTTTTCTGGGGATTTTATATGCTACAACTTCTCCGTGTGCACGAAATGCTTGTTTAACGCTCACATGTAAGCTGAGTAAAATAGTCATTGTTTTTACTTCTTGGGAACTCTACTATTCATTGCAGATAGTATAGATTTTTAGTAATTAATATTAGTTATAAATTTTTACCCCACTTTGCATCATCGTTCAGTAGCATTTGATTAAATACCATCCCAGAGTGGAACATGATAGCACTGAAATTCTTGCATCTGATCAAAATGAAAATCCTGATCCCAACTTTCATTTTCTTTCAGTATGATGAAGTGATAATCAAATTAATCTCGGTTTCTTTGGTTCCTGGTTCATTGTCTTTAGGAAGAGGTAGAAACTGTTGTGTCTATGCTGATCGAGCAGGCTCGAGCACTAGCTCGCACTGGGATGAAGAGACACCTCCGAGTCCTCCCCATGTATGCGGGACTGCCTTCCTTTGAGCAAATGAAAGTGTTTGAAAGGGTGTCACGCAGCGTCAGAAAGGTGAGACTCTCCTGAGGACCATGAGTATTTGCAGCCATTTGTAATCACATCAGTGCCCCTTTGCTATCCTTTCCATGTGTTGGAAAGATTTTTTTTTTTTAATTGATATGAAACTTGCTAAACAGAAATGTTTCTGTCAGAGTTTTAGGTTCATGTTTCTGTGTAGTAGATCTAAAAGCACATGATAAATCATGTGTGGTGAAGATTTCTAAACCCGCCCCACAGAAGGGTTATTACTCCGACAGTAATTATCAGAGCAGGTGACTTCTCTTTGCTTCTCTTCTGCCTACCCAGTATTTCCCATGACACAGTACTGCCTTGGCTCATGGGACTGTTTTGGTGGATTGTGGTCAGTCAGGAACAATAGATAAGTTACTAGGAATGATCTAAATCATTGAAGTATCAGTTTGCCTGTAGAGCCAAGTTTAAATCAATTAATTCAAGGTGTGGCGTGGAAACCTTTAGCCTTGAACTTGGGGTAGGGAAGGGTGTGGTGGAAAGCGTCAGTTCGAAGGAGCCAGCAGGCAGCCAGTCTGCTTACTGCTCATTGTACCCCTGGGCCTGACTCTGCTGTTCCTTCCATTACATGAGGACTGCATAGAACCGGCCTGACGTCAGCTTATATTGTAGTAGCTGTTTATAAACAGGTGGCAGAGAATAAAGTAGGTGAGGGATGGTCTGAGGATCCACTTCCAGTTTCAGACCACTTGAAGAGGGTGCTCAGCCTCTTGGCCATTGGGATGGAGCAGCTCGAGTCTGCCCAGTGAAACATTAGTTGCAGCTAACCAATCAGAAGTCCTAGATTCCGCCCTTGGGTAGCTGTGTGCCCTGGCATGAGTTATTTAACCTCTGGTCTCAGTTTTTGTAGCTGTCAAACATAAATAATAGCTTTTAGATAGTT